GAGCTCTTTTGTGTTTAGAACAATATATACTAATTTTTAAAGTATCAAAAATGAATTTTTGTTCAATAAAAATCTTTCAAGTGTGACTGTAGCCTTTTTTTCCCCCAAAACTTTGGCTTCAAAATAAGGGTGTGTCTGATACACAGGTGCATCTTATATTCCAAAAAATACGGTACCCTCTCACATCTGTAAAATTATGTTTCTTTTTTGGATAATTTTACATATGTGAGGGGAGGTTCTTAGATTGAGCTGATTTTTCTTTTGGGTGACAATTTGTTTTTTTATGATTTGTTTGGGTAACTACAAAGAGGGGTGGCTACCCAAATTATTTCTTGCTTGAAACATTTTAGCTTCGAGGGAGATTCAAAGACATAAATTTGTTTTCTTTGAAGTATAGAAGAACTAGAGATGACTCATTTAAGGTCATTTGAGGCTTGAAAAAATTTTCCTTGAGACATTTGTTGAAGTAGTGGAAGGATAGGGTTGGAAATGAAATCTTGAATATTAGAAGAAATATGTATAAACTCTAGGCCTGTTATCATACAAAAGATTTTCACTTAAGAGATATTAACTTGTGGAATTTTTTGCCAGTTGATGTGGTATGTGCTTGAAACTTCATTGTTGGGTAATCTGGGTTACCTAGTTGTATTTTACATTTTTAAAGTCGTATGCCTGCATCTTACACCTAATACAAGTTGGAGAGCTAAAGAGTTTAATCTTGGGAGTTGGTAAATGAGAGTTCTGTAATAGGGAGTTTTCTGGTTGAGCACATAGCACAGTGAAAAGATGATAAAAGTAAGTTGAAATACAGAAATAATGTTCAACAAAGCCTTCCCTCAATAAGCCACTAATCACAAAAACAAAATAGAATATCATAACCATGTTATGTGTAAATCTTCACATCCATATGTTTAAGTGACTTTTTACAACAGATTCTAATAATTTGATAACAATAGAAGTTAAACTGAAAAGTTTGTAGCTTCTTAAATCCTCCATAGACTTGTCCTTTTTGAAAAGAGATCACATTGGCAATTTTCCAGTCATTAGAAATTTTTTTAGTGTCAAAAAACTTCTGAAAATAATGGTTAAAGCCCCAATTTATCTCTACTAAATTTCTTCACAGTTTGGGATCTTTTCTGGGCTAGGAACATTATTTTAAGAAATTTCATAAGTTTTCCTAAAAAGATGTACATTTTTAATGAAAATAGAATTTAAAGAAAAACCCTTCCCATCTCTAAAGAAATTGATCAGCTTTTAAATTTTTTTCTCTCCTTAAAAACACTAGTAAATATTTATTAAGTATTTTTGTTATTTTCTTGAGTAATAAGATAACTAACTGAATAAGAGAAGAGATTGAAAATATCTTAAAATCTCTTGTAATAAGTACCTATACATGTTTCAAAAGACATCTTGTATGCTGTTTTAAAATTTGAAAACAACCTATATCTATAATAAATTACCCATACATTTTGACTCTTCTTTTTCATAGTAAACAGAGTAATTTTAGAGCCAAAATCTTGGACACTTTGAAACATTCTGCTCTCTTCCCAAGTTAAAGTTCAGTTGTTTATAAGCTCTTATTTTGAACCTGAAGAATATTCTTGTTTTTAAATAACATACTTTTCTCTTTATATTTATGAATTATTTTGTCATTGCACATATACTACAGTTGCTTCCAGAATATTTATCTGTATTAGTGAAACAAGCTGTTTTTTAAATGTAAGAATTTGTGAATAAATATTCAGACAAAGCATGATTGAAACAGTAAACAAGAACAGATTGCAAATAACTTATTGTGTTGTTCAAGTATGGAAAGTCTTTCATTAAAAATATTTCTTTTATTACAAGTTCAGTGTTTGTGTGTATGTTTATACACACCTTTATTTCATATTTGTTTTTACATCATATTATTTATTTTGTAAATTTACTTTTATTCAACTCAGAATTAGCTGCAAATTGCATTATTTAAATCAATTATAGTTCCAGGTTACACCATATATTTTTAAGTTTTAGCTTTTGTGATAAATGTGTTTATTCTTAAATGACCAAACTTTCAGTAATTATATAAATGTGCTACATGCCTCATCAGTGTTTTTACTGTTTCTTATCTGTTTTGGACTTTTGATGGATGAATCTAGTGCAACCCCTACGAGTTTTATTGTCATAGCTAATCTTTTATGTGGCACCTTACCAAAAGCTCTTTGAAAATCTAAGTATACAAAGCTCACTTCCTTTCCTTTCCTTTTAAATAACAAGTAATAACCTCAAAGAAAAGATAACTGTAAGACAAGATTTTCCTTTGGTTTATGATATCATATTCCACTAAATGGTTTTAAGCTTCTTTTATCAGATTTTTTGCACTAGAGAAGTAATATTAATCTATGATTTACAAAGCAACTTATATTAACCTGCCCATTCTATTGACCTACTATCTGACCTTTGAAATCCTGGGGAAAATCTTGTCTGGCCCTGGTGTTCTATCTGCTCTTAATGTTAGTCTTTCTATTTATTAAAGTAGTTAGAAATTGTAGTTGTCTAAAAGATAAAAAGAAACTGAAGTGTAGTTTTGTTTCTGATGTGTTTCACCTGTTTTGTATCACAGCTGAGCCTGAATCCTCATGTTGTACTGATGATCGAGGCCAGGATGCTGTAGTATTTCTTTTAGATGTTACTCTTGTGAGATCTGTTTTACACAATGGCTTCAAATTTTATATCCTCACCTTTCCAATAGATCTTTTCATTATAAATTCAGACCAAAATAATTTTAAAAACAAAGCCCATTGATATATGTTACCCATTTCATACAAATTAAAAAAAATAAAACTGTCACACATACATATACATGCAATACTAAAATATAAGGTTGTGTGATGTTTAAGGGTATTGCTTTTTTTTAAAGTAATATTTGCATGATGTTTCTGCCATTACCCTCAAAGGAACACCACTTTCTTTAAAGAACATGTTAATCAAGTCTTGGTAAAAAGTAGGTTATCCTCTTTTTGTCATCCTACTCCTGCAAAGTAATTATAAATTGTTGAAATAAGTTTCTTATCCGTTTCTTTCTCTCAACTTATTTTATCGAGCTCTTGTATTTTTCTGACCAATAAAATGTTTATAAATGTAATAAAATCTGCTCCAATGACATATGGTTACAAGATAATTAACATTGACTGACATGTAGATATCAATAACGTCTGATCAAAGCAAGCTATCTACTAAAATTTAACTTAGAAAATAATATTAATTAATATATTTGTATAATTAGGAGTATTCTTTTTGACAAAAAACAAAAACTTGTAATTATTAGATTGCTTTGATTAATTGGTTAGGTACTGTCATTGTTAACAGTATTTTTGGCCATAACCCCAATATCTCACAAGGCTTAGCCAGCTGAGGATGATTTGAATTAATTCTATACTTAACTAACAATAGAAAATAATTCTCATGAGTGTAAAAAAAATAATAATAACAAAACTAAGTAAAAACAAACAATTATACATTTTAACAATAATATTCATAAAACTAATTATTAAATTAAAAATAGAATATTTGGAGTCATAGTAGTGATTGTGCCACGTAAGAAGGATGGAATAACTACCATGACTGTACATTCACAAGACCAAGCTTTTGGCCAAATCTTGGGCATTGCCACAGCTTTTCCAAATGCTCAAGTGCCACTTAGGAACACATCATGTTAAAAACAGTAGCTTTATATCTGTTTTAGGTTGAAAGAAATAAGCAGTTGAAAAAAAGTAATAAAGTTATTGCTGTTCTCCATGTTGAAATGACAAATCATACTGTAGGATTAGAACAAAGCAAAATTCCACTGGTAGATATTAATTTAAACTAGAGTTTGATAACTACTGCACATATACTGATATCATATATAAATATTCATTGATAATTTTAATGTGAATTGCTTTCCACAGATTGAAACTTATGACCTAAGGGCGTAGGGGCACACAGAAAATGTGAAATGATGGAATGGCATAGTGGTTGATGATGCTGCAATTTTTTTCAAAACTTACCCTGACAGTTGGGATTCAAATCTTATTTTGAATGGAATCTTATTTTTAATCAGTTTTGAAATAACAATCAAAACATTTTACATATACTGCTCAGTATTTCTTTGCATATTGAGCATGTGTTATTAATACGCAAAGTCCATCAAAGGAGCAACTAAGCTTCTGTTGTCCTAGTTACTCACAGAATTAGTTCATTCAATTAAGATATCACAAATACTTTCTCATGAGAAAAGTTGTAAAGTAGAGCTTATTGTATAGAAAGCAACAGTGATATTTTCAACTGGCAAGTCAGATGATGCCTCAGGGATTCAACACAACATCCCTTGTTTTGTAGTGAGCATCAAACGTGTGGGAAGTCATACAACTTTAAAAGAATGACATTGGTATTTTTCGTATGTAATGCCACGTTTCCTGAGATGGCAAAAAGATTTTTAAATTTTAGTCTATGATATGCTTTTAAGGAGAGATTAGATTAAGATTAAAGATCTATGATTGATTTTATTAATATTTAACTTGAAGATTGATTTGCTAGCTATCAAGTAAAAGTACCCAAAAGATACACTTGTTTAATCCTTGATTGCTGTTTGTTAAAAAATACAGGTTGTTTCATTATGTTCTTTGCTTTGAACTCGGCTGAGGCTAGAGAATTCAGATTTTGATCAGGAAATCATTTTCTGTCAAAACCTCCTGTTATTCTGTAGCTCTTACCTGATTACTTGAAGTCAGTGGATCTGAAAATATAATACCACAGTACAAAAAAGCCAAATTAGAATAAAATAATCAACTGTATAAAAAGGTGACATAAAAACGGAACCAAGTTATATGAAAGGGGCAAGCCTTCTAAAAAATGTAATGTAGAAGTGGGGAAATTAGGAGAAATTGGGGGAAACTTGGCCACTTCTTTATATCCAATATATATTCCTTAAACGTTTCTTGTTTAATTCACCTGCTTTTACATTACTTGTTTACAGGGTATGTCCTTTTATATAACTTTATTTTTTTTATGACATCTTAGTATGGCTGACTTGTTTACTCAACATTGTATGTAAAATGTTTTAAACAGATAACTTACAACAAGCCACATGCTAGTTGTATACTTCATATATATTCACTGATTCCCTCTAATCAATACAAAGCTCAATCCACGTCTAATGTCAAGTAATCATGAGAATTTCTTGAAATGTTTCCTTGAAATTAGATTTAATTTGGCATTATTTACCACACAAATATTATTTTTAATTTTATTATACAGAAAATGGTATTGATTATTAAAATGGTATTGATTATTAGCTATCTTTTATTGAACAGTAGATATAAAAATCCAGTTGTGAGTCTTTAAAATTGTTAAAAAGTCATAAAAGGGAAGAGAAATTTTGTGTTTCACTAAATATATGAACCTTGGTGTGGTGATTTCTGCTTACTGAATTTGCTTAACACCTATGTAAAATTGAGCAGGCCAATATTTTGCAATGTTTCATCTTAATATCTTGCATTTAAAATTCATCCACCAGTGCATTTTGTTGTTTGACAGATATATATTTTTGGGGGAAGGAGGATTTATGGCTATCTGTTTGATGCAGACATTTTTAAACTGTTTTAATGTGGATATTCTAACAGTAAAGTATTAAAAAAGGGAGTGAAATTAAAAACTGTTACTTGAACAGATGAAAAAAGAAGTTCTGATTTAATTTGTCCACTTACTTCCCTTCACTGTTGGTGAAAAATTGGGTTAGTTTTTGTATCTCATCAGTTCTTTAGGGTCATAAAACTTGTTAATATTGTTCTACCTAGAGAACTGTAGTGGGCAGTTGCTGAACCTTTGCAGATAACTTTGAGTAAAAGGGACATTTATAGTGGTTTCACATTTCAGAAAAGTTGTTAGTAATGGCAAGCCTGATGGTTTAAAAAGTAAGTAACATATAGTTTGAATTCAGTATTACAGGAACAAAACTTCTTTTGTTTTACAGGATTCAAAATCCATCGAATCAGCAAAAAAGAGCATATTAAAATTTCCTCCTTTAGCAGATGTTTTGAGACCATCTTATTTTGAAGAATATGAAGGTCAAGAAAACATTTTAAGTGAAGGAAGTATGCTGAGGACTCTCATTGAAGTGAATAACATACCTTCTATGATATTATGGGGACCTCCAGGTTGTGGAAAGGTTTGGTATTACATTATTAGCATTTATTATTAGTATTTGTTTTACAAAAACACTGAAAAACATCTGTTCATGACAGATATATCATCCAAAAGTCAAGTTAGTTTCAAGTGAGATAAAACTTGTCATTCTTTTAATGTGTATGCATTCTGTCTTTGTTTTTACATACAAAGGCAGTGATTAACATGATGAATTTTACTTTCCTTTTCAAGGAGGAAAATGCTTGTAAAATGGAAAATTAAAATATGATGATAAATCTTAGAATTAGGCTTTTGTAACACTTGGTAAAATATACCTCAGTATGCTTATAGATAGAAATCTACATTGTTATAGAAACTTGTAAAACAATAATGTATATACCCAAATATTGCCAAAATGTTAAATTTCTTGTTAGCTTTCAAGATTCTTTAAAAAGCAGTAATGCCTAAATAATAAGTAATAGTTGAGGAATTTTATTGGGATTGTAATGGACAGTATTTACAGAGAATATTCACATGCAAGCAATTTGTGGTGATTGTGGTTCATAAATATAGTGCATGAAAATAAGTATCACACTTTCCAAGTGTGTTTGACTATTTTACAGATTTCACAGAGGTAACCTTTTACACCAGGTGCAGTAATTAACCCTATAATTACTGATGAAGGCTTATAAGGCCCTATCAATTTTTTTAAATATTTTACTGAACTCTTTTATTCGTCAAATTTCTTATGGGTCTGTGACTGTGTTAGTAACATGGGCTTTAATGACATGAGTCATAAAGAAATCAATATTGCAATTAATCCCACTAACTTATTCAGGGGACCTTAAAGTATTTTAAGCAGAAAATTAGTGGTATTGAACAGTTCAGTACATTGAATATTATAACTGGCAAAAAACAAAAAGCTCAATATTGAATGGTATAAGAATAAGCCACTACTGTGAGGTTTAAAATTTCATAAGTACATGTAATCAGAAAATGTATGAAATAAATAATTACAACAGTGGTGACTTGTTATTTATTGTTTTCTGTTGTTTGAAATATTTAAAGTCATTAAAAATTATATATAAGGTAAAGAGATTAGAATATTTGGAACTTAATGAAAATAGTATTATTTCTATTGAACAAAAGTTTATTTTTAATAAGATAAATTAAGTAAGCTAAGTTTGAATATTTTGAAACAGTTTTGCATCTGTTGAATTTCAAGCAATATAGTATTTTCTGAATATTATTTTGTTAAAAATGTAATTATATATATTTAGAAATATTTCTGTTTTATGCCTAAATTTCACTTCTTTTTTTTTTTGTAGACTACATTAGCCAACATTATAGGAAAGAAAAACAAGCAACAACAGAATTCATGTTTTGTAGAACTTTCTGCAACACAAGCAGGAGTGAAAGATATCAAAGACATCGTTGAAATTGCAAAAAAATAGAACAAAAAAATTCTTAAAAGGAAAACTGTTGTATTTATAGATGAAATCCACCGGTTTAATAAATTACAGCAGGTAAGTTGTTGAATGTTGTAAAGTTAATTAGATTAATTAAATGTAGATTAAATGTCTGGGTAGGCATTATTATCAGACTACATTATTAGAAACACATTGTATTAACTAAAAATTCTTAAAGTATTAACCGGTATTGTTGTATGGTGCTATTTTTTTTGCCTATATTAAGAATTTCAATTGCCAGTGGTAGCACTACATAGAATATGATAAAATGAATTCAACATTCAACTATGGAGCTAAGGTAGTATAACACCATGCTACTTCCTGTTTGTTTGATCAAAATAGATTGGCTGCATCTGTTTGAATTTCTGCTAAAAATGATATTTCCCGAAGGTAGAACAAAAAGCATTAGCTACTTTTCTCAGACACTTACACAAGAAGCAAAACCAACATATATATATATATATATATTTCTTGACCTTTTTTCTTTTCTCTCCACTTTGTCTGGTTGTAGCGTTGAGCAATTAGTGGTATTTGCTAATCGATTAATCAATGGCCTTATTAATTATTTATATTTGATCAATCAATCAATACAGCATTCTTAAAACTATGGTATGTACAAGCAAAAAAGTTGGTAGCAGGTTCTGCCTTCCCTCTTGTCAGTGGTTCAAAATTACTGGCAGATAGACTTAGTAGCTTTGCCATAACAAAGAAAGAGCAATTCCCAGGTGGATGCCAAAAAGCAAAGCAGTTGTATGGAAAGAGCATCACTTGGATGTATGTGTCAGGACATACAGTAGTAAAACTAAATGAGGAAGCTGGCAAAAGAAGCCCCTATATCAGACCTGGCACAATTCTATTGGTAATCCCTTTACGCTAATATAGCAAAAATGTCAACCATGGAAGCCTTCATTAACATTAATCACGAATGAGATTACCCCAAAACAAAGTAATGTATGGTATAGCTATGAAAAGTAAAAGTTTAAAATGAACAGAAAGAAGGCCACTGGTACTATCAGTGAAGGAACTCTCTTCTTCTTCTTTTTAATACCTTCTGCAAGGCAGCTGGCCTCTACATGAGAGATCAACACATATCAATTCAACTTATTACTAAATTCAACTCGAGTTGAATCTGTCTCTAACCTAATTTGTTTACATTTTGTCTTAGCATTTTATGAGACTGAGTTTTTTACCTCCACCACCAAAGGTAGATGAGGTTATATTTTCATCTCTGTGTGTGTATTTGTCAACAAGATTTCTCGAAAATGGCTGAATGGATTTGGATGAAATTTGATATTCATTTGGACTATCTCCCAACACAGAAGTAATTAGTTTTAGAGTGTCAAGGTCACAAAAATAGAAAAAAAAAATCTCTTATGTGTTAATATGGGGACCAATTTTTCACACTATTTTTGCTCTGTAACTCAAT